GTGTGAAATCTCAGAAGAAAGGCGCCTAAATCTTCAAGGCACTAGTAATTTGTTGACATCTTTTCACATTCTAAATAAATAGCTACACTCACGCCTCATTTTATAGTCCTAGTTTTGTCCTGTTTTGAGAAATGTTCTTTCTGAGACAAATGTCGGGAGAAAGGATCCTGAGAGAGACACGGAACCAAACAGATGCACCGATTTCATTCGAAAGCCCAGCTCCGTAGAAGTTCACTATGGTGCTTTTTAGTTTGTTTTTTGTGTGTTTTTTGTTGTTGTTGTTAATTCTCACCTGAGGATATTTTTCTCCATCGCTTTTCAGAGAGAGTGGAAGGGAGGGAGGGGGAGAGACAGAGAGGGAAACATCGATGCGCGAGAGACTCGATTTTTGGTTGCCTCCTGCACACGCCCCGACGGGCAGGGGTGGAGCCTGCAGCTGAGGTACGTGCCCTTGAGCGGGAATCGAACCCGAGACCCTTCAGTCCTGAGGCCGACGCTGCAACCAAGTAGCCAAACTGGCCAGGGCTGCTTTGTTCACTTCTTCATAACACAGTGCCTTTGGACCAACCTTATGCGTTCCAGTGACCAGGAGCACGGAGGCCNTGCTTTGTTAACTTCTTCATAACACAGTGCCTTTGGACCAACCTTATGCGTTCCAGTGACCAGGAGCATGGAGGCCCGGTCCTCCTTGGGCCCCCTGAGTAGCAGCTGTCCCCCCGCCATGCCAGGCTTACTTGTAGCACCTGGATAATTAACACCCCACCCAGGCTCTGCCCTCGGGGTCCCAGAAGGGACTGGGGCGCGGGTTGTCTCCCTCCACATGCTCTCAGCTCCCCACGTCCCAGGAATAGGGTCCAGGCCCCCAGTTAGCCCACCAGGAGCACCTGAGGTGCCCCGCTCTGGGCTTCCCACCCCTCCCCATGCCAGCAGACGCCCCTCCCCATGCCAGCAGACGCCCCTCCTATGTCCCAAGGCCAGACCTGCCTGAGCGTTCAAAGGACGGGAACCACCGCCTCTCTCTGCCGCCTCGGAGATCACTCGGCCCCTGCTTCGTTTGCACATGGAGAGACCGCAGACAAGCTACAGCAGGACCCGGGTCGCCTGGATGATCCTGCAGTTTGCAGACGTGCAAAGGCATGACGGTGGCGGTGTCTCATGCACCAGCATGACACAGGTGTCGCGCCCGGCTTGTGGGATGTTCCAAGGGGCTTTGCTCTGGCTTGCAGAGCTGGATGTGTCTGCGCACCCACTGCAGCTGTGTTTTTGAAAACCTGTCCTCCACCTGGTGTCTGGTCTTCACAAACTCTAATAATAATTAGAGAGAGCAACCATGCCTGGCCGGTGTGGTTCAGTGGCTGAGCATCGACCCATGAACCAAGAGGTCACCGGTTCGATTCCGGGTCAGGGCAAATGCCAGGGTTTGGGGATCGATCCCCAGGAGGGGCGTGCAGGAGGCAGCCGATCAATGGTTCTCTCTCATGGATGTTTCTGTCTCTCTATCTCTCTCCCTTCCTCTCTCTCTAAAATCAATAAAAACATATTAAAAAAAAAAAAAAAAAAGCAGCCANATGGATGTTTCTGTCTCTCTATCTCTCTCCCTTCCTCTCTCTCTAAAATCAATAAAAACATATTAAAAAAAAAAAAAAAAAAGAGCAGCCATGCTTGGATGCCTACTCTATGGTTGGATGTTACTACACTTAACTCCTATGACACAATGAGGCAGCTGTCAGCATCCCCATTTTCCATAATAGGTAAGCTGAGGCTTAGGGGGTAAACTGCTGTTTTGAAAGCCATGCCCTGTCCTCAGTCTTCTCATCTGCAAACTGGGGATAAGAATACGGATCTCGCGGGGTGGTTGTAGGCTCGCATGAGACACTGTGTGCGTGGGAGTGGCCCCTGGCCCCATCCTCCAGGGCACACTGCTGGTAAGAGGCAGGACCAGGCCTTTGTGACACCAGAGTCCATGTCCTTTTCTACAATCACCCTTCTGATGAGCTTTTCCTCAGCTTCGCGGTGCTTATTCTTGTCTGTGTCTTCGCCTCAAGTCAGCAGGGGTGGAACTTTGCCATTGTCATCACTGTCCCCCGACACAGGCCTCCTTTTTTGCTTCTGTACTCTTTATTTGGGAGGGTCTAAAATGTTCGTGCTAGAGGTGGGGGCACTTGAGGTGGCCCTTGTAGGAGCTCTGGAGGTGAAGGCTGCGGTCACAGGGACTGAGGACTTAGAAACATACTAAGAAAAGTAGGGTTATCGAGAAAATGAACAAACTAGCGAGTCTCATTTTGTCTGGAACTAAAACAAGGGTTCAAGCAGGCACTGAGTGACAGTGACGATTATTGAGAAAGGCATCTATCACGTTGGCTCACGTGGGCCTAGGAACTGGTTGTGTTTGTTTATTTTAAGAAGTCCCTAATTGTTGCGGACATGGGGACGAATTTCAGGGTCCTGATTGGAACTCAAGGGGCAGATGAGATGGCCGGGCTCAGTCCCCGCCACGGCGTGTGGGCCACGGAGAGTGGGAGGTGACACCATCTCCGCAAACCAGAGCAGGCGTGAGACAGCTCAGAAGTGGGAAGGGCGCTGCGAGACCCTCCTTCCCCCAGGCTGTGACTGGCCCCGGGAAGGGCAGAAGAGCACAGCAGAGAGCCACGTGGCCCGGGCTAACCGTGAATGCTTAAGGAGTAACTTGTCCTTATTCAGAAGTGGCCCCCAATTTGCTGCATTTGTTTTTTTATTTGGATGCAGTAACCCCACTGCTGTCATAGCTGGAATCCATGGGCTATGGGCTCCACTTAAGGAAACTCCAGCCCTCGCCACCCCTCCTCCCCATCATAATGGTTTCTCTTTCTCCTGACTTTCAGTGCGGCTCTAGTTCAGGGTGACTAACTTCGGTCAGGACTTCGCAATCTTTCCATCAGACTCCCGAGAGAGTTCAGTGATCAGAGTCTTAGCCTCAAAGGAGCCTTGAGAACTAGAGCCTGGCCCGACTATTTTTTCAAATAAAAATAAATGTTAATGTAGTTATAAAAATCTGGCAGGAGGCCTACTGACCTAGTCAACCATTTGCCTTTTTTTCCCCTTGATTTTCATAAAGCCCTAAGGCTGAAGCGGTTTAAAATGTGTCACTTAAACAAGTGTATCAATTACTCAAACCTTCCCCCACCTCAAGCTGGAAACTTTCCTCTTGGGAGAGAGTCTCAGTTTTTAAAATGTTCCTGGACCTGAACAAAGTAAGGGTATTGGCTCAAAAATGAAAAGAAAACTCCAAAATCAAAATGAATTAATATATAATTGTTTGCAAAACCACGAGTCAGTGTTGACTCACGTAAATTACTAGATACTTTATTCAGAACAGAATTCAAAGTGATAAAAGGAAACTTGCAAAAATTATAGCAAAAGAAAAAATTGGATTGTGGGGTGGATTTTAATATGCTTGATATGATATGAGGTGAAAGTCCCCAAAAGTAGAAATACCCAGAGGCTACCAGGGCCCTGGAGCAGGTACTAAAAGAAGGCCACAACCAAAAGCTGCCAGATATCCATTCGTTCACATCTGTTTATAAACCTGTGCGCCTTCCTCAAGACAACTGACTTTCACCCTGGACAGGAAACCCCCAAAAGGACAACCATGCTCTGTTACTTTATTCACACAGGGGCAGGAGAGCGCGAGAGGGTGGGGGTGAGGATGAGGTGATTGACAGCTCACTTGCAGGTTAGGCTTGAACTCATGACCCAAGTTGGTATTCAGCACTTCCCAAACTCTTCCACTAGGGGCAGTGCAGAGTAAAAACACCCTGTACCCGAGTGTCTGGATTCTTGGACGTAGAGCCCCAGGCTTCCTTCTTCACCATACCATGTCTATATTTAACATAAAGGTAATTTGAAAATCTATTATCCAATGAGAAAATTTAACACTGCGGCAAGAGTATCGGCCATGTTTGCTTCATTACTCGCGCCATCACAGACCTCAGAGGCGTGGTATCACAGTTGGAGAAATATGGGTGTGTCTCCACCCAAACCCTGACCCCATAGTCAGCTTTACCTGGCCAGATGGCAGCATGCTGATTTGCCCTCTTTCCAGTCAGAAGGCTTCTGTCTTTCGCCCACCACTCGCTGATTCAGCCTGCCTCCCTAATCCCCAGTGTACCTGTCCCTGCCTGCCTCTCCCAGTGCTCAGATCGTCCCTAATCCGAGAGCATCCGCCACATCTCTTCCATCCAAGTGCCTCCCAGGGAGTCCAGCTGAAGTCCACCTTCCTCCGTAGTCTTCCTCCGATTGCTTCGTCACATAATCATCTTTCCTTTCTCAAAAACGTTAAGGTGTTTTCGTCCACACCACGTGTCTAGCAGTCGATTTACAACTGCCTTACATGTCGCTCTGATCATCCTAGACGCACGCCTTGTCTCCCAAACTGGTCTCTTCGCCCCTCTCAGTGGCAGTGACACTGCCTCTTACTTTGTTCTTTGAGCAGCTCCTGAGCAGGACGAACATTAAATGAATAATTCATTCTTTCCCTCTACGATGCATCAATTAATCTCACTCGGTTTCCGGCTCTACTTAAGGACCCTCACCCTCTGTTCTTTTCATTCCCACCAGTTACCTTCTCTCCCCTATCTCCTGACTCCTTAGGTCAGAAAATATTGGTAAACATAAGACACAGACTTTTTAATGGGCAGGTGCACGAAGAGGCTCAGGATCACTTCCTAAGATCCCAGATTACATGCGGTCCCTAATTTCACTTTAACCGTCTGCGTTTTCCCTTCACAGGATTTGTCCCGGTTTACATTAGACGCTTGTGTATTGTGTATGGTGTTGTGTTAATTGCTTGCCTGTTTCATTCACTAGATTGTAAGCTCTCTGAGGGCAAGGGGGGACCACGTGGCGCTTTTGCCACACAGCCCCCCCCCACCGTGATAGGTGCTTAATGCTCCTGCTGAATGAATGGGGAGTCCAGACCAGGTATCTCGGCGGGTCTTTGCATTCGTGCCCCTCCGATTTAAAAACAACTCTCCTGCTCTTTCAGACGACACAGGATATACAAAGAGCAGCTGAACATCACTTCCCTGGACCCCCCGGTGCAGCTCCGCCTCGAGGCCAGCTGGGTCCAGTTCCACCTGGGAATCAGCCGCCACGGGCTGTATCCCCGGTCCAGTCCTGTCGTCAGCAAACTCCTCCACGACATGAGGCACTTTCCCACCATCAGTGCTGGTGAGGCTCCCAGGGTCAGGCAGGAGGACTGGCTGTCCCCCAGAGAGGCTGGGTAACCGCCCCGGCTGTGGGGCGAAGTAGGAAAGGGTTGTCTCTGGCTCCTGACAGACAGGAAAGTAAGAAAAGAGAAAACCATAGGCATTGACTCTTTCCCTTTGAAAGAGCTCGGACAACCATAATCTTACCGCAGCCGAGGTGTCCTGTCCGCTTAAGGGAAGGTGATCGCCACCAGTTAGCCAGCGCCGTCTTCCCCCTGGCAGCTCTGTCCTACGCGGCGATCCTGCGGCGTGGCAGCCTCATTGCCATTTGCCTGATGGTTGAGCTGAGCCTCAGAGGTTGAACGGCTTGGCCGGGGACCATTGCTGGGACTGGGGCTCAGAAAGGCCTGCCTGTCGAGCACTATACAGTCTCGGCGACAGCAGGTTATTAGCAGAGACAGAACCCCATCGGTTTCCCAACCAGGTGCTGCTGGAGCGCCCACTGAAGGGCTAGCGAGCGTGGGGCCTGGGGTGGAGCAGGGAGAGAGGCTCCAGCCAACTGGGGCCCCGGGAGATGCCCTATGGAATGGGCAAGGGCCCCAGGCTGCCTCGGGGTCCCCTCTAGCATCCGAACCAGAGTCCAGGCTCCCCTCGACACTGCTGAATGTTCTAACCGCCCTGCTTCTCCACAGATTACAGTCAGGACGAGAAAGCCTTGCTCGGGGCGTGTGACTGCACCCAGAGTAAGTGGCCTGGCCCTGCCTCCTCCCAGCCCTCCCTGCCACAGCTGTGTGAACCTCTGGGCAGGACCTGGCAGCTCCTCCATGGGGTCCTGGTTGGGAGTTGAAGGGGCGTGACTCTTTCTGCCTAATCTTTGAGAATTCAGCATCCCCCCCCTCTCCCCCCAGAAGAGCCCTTTAAGGGGAATTCATGTGTAGGTCCCTGCTGGTCAGCGTGTGGTCCAGGAACCAGGGTCATCTTGTCATTGAGCAGCTTGTTAAGAAATGCAGAATCTTAGCCCCCCAACCCCTCTGATCTTCTGAACCAGAATCTGGATTTTAACAAAATCCTTAAGGGATTGGAGTGCATTTCAGATTTAAGAAGCAACTGTACAGGAAAGTGGTTCTGAACCCAGCAACATGTTAGAGTCTCCTGGAGAGTCCCAAACAGTGCAGAGGCCTGGCCTCCTCCCCAGGTTTCCATTCGGTCACATAGGATGTGGCCTGGGCATCAGCATTTTTAAACCATTCTTGGTGGTTCATCCCAAATACCTTGTTAACGTGCCCTTGTCCCCCTCACAGTTGTGAAACCCAGTGGGGTCCACCTGAAGCTGGTTCTGAGGTTCTCAGACTTTGGGAAGGCCATGTTCAAACCCATGAGGTAAGTGACTGCCTTCCTCGCCTCCATACCCAGCCTTAGCGGCCCTGGGGGAGTTTTGACCCAAAATTAGTAAAAGTGGTCTAACATCTTCAAGCCAGTCATCTGTAGACTGTCTTTTGAACAATTTGTCCACGCATTGAACTTTTTGGTGAAAATAATAAGAGTTAGTCCTTCTCAGGTCTTTGCTAGTATCTACGCGACACAGATTATATGATTGTCTCTGGATCATCAATAATCTTATGGGCCAGGTACTGTTAAAGGGTCCACTTTACAGATAGCAACACTGAGGCCTGGAGAAGCCAGCTGGCACCAGCCTTCCAGCTTCAGAAAGTGGAGCCAGGATTCAAACCCCGGCAGCTGGGTTGCTAAATTCACACTCTACCACTATAATTCGTATCCACTTGTTTCCTGGGCTAGGACCCTTTACAGACCTCTACATAATAATGCTTGTTTTGATTGAAAAAAACTAGGCAACGAAAAAGGCTACTGTGATGTCAGTTATACTTCTAAATCAATTTCTATTTTATTTATAACAATAGCAAATACACACCTTTAACATTGTGTAGCACCTGGGTGAAATAACATGTATCCAGCCCACAGAGTTTGGTGTACATATGGATTCCTGGCCCCCAAAGGGTCTGCAGCCCACAGGCTGGGGACTCCTGAAGCTTATGTTCTTCATGGAGGTGACATGCATAAGAGAAAATGGCCCCAAGAGAGTTCCCGTTACCCAAGCCATGCTGTCCTGCAGAATGCCCTGTCTTCCAGTGGGATCCATAGAGTGACTCAGGTTCCAAATGTTCAGTTAATTGAGAGGACCATGGAATGAATGGCCCAGTAGATGGGTCTGGGGGTGGAGCCTCATGGAATGAGCACCAAATACAGAATCTTAGTTCCAGGCCCCGCACTGCTTTGGCAAAAGAACCCTTTACAGAGAGGTTTGCAATAGATCAGATGTTTGTGGGAATCACTTGGGGAGCCTTGAAAAATCCTGGTGCCTGAGTCCCACCCTCAGAGTCCAATGGGATGGTTCCCCCAGAACCCCAAAGCCCAGGTAACCTTGAGAACCACCGCTAATAAGGCAATCCCCTATGCATACATTAAAAGCAAAAAGCTGTTTTCCTTTCCCTCTGGTCATGCTTCTCAGCTGTCTTCTCGGGCTGTCCGCCGAAGTCTGAGTCCAGGGCATGATTCCTCCCTTCTTTTCAGACAGCAGCGAGATGAGGAGACGCCCGCGGACTTCTTCTATTTCATTGACTTTCAGAGACACAACGCTGAGATCGCAGCTTTCCACCTGGACAGGTAGGGTCTGGCCCCGTGGAGATGGCACTGATGGCAAGGGCCATCAATGAGGGGGCACTGGGTGTGGTCAGAAATGCTAGTCCAGCCCGGCCAGGCATGGCTCAGCGGTTGAGCGTTGACCTAGGATCCAGGAGATCGGGGTTCAATTCCCAGTCAGGGCACATGCCCAGGTGGCGGGCTCGATCCCCAGTCGGGGGCATGCAGGAGGCATCTGATCAATGACTCTCATCATTGATGTTTCTATCTCTCTCTCTCCCTCTCCTTTCCTCTCTCTGAAATCAATAAAGATATATTTTTTAAAAAAAGAAAGAAAAGAAAAACCAGTCTATTTCTAATGGGTGACCACCTAACTCCCTGACCATCCCTCAGATCTGAACAGGGCTCCCTCTCTTTCAGGATCCTGGACTTCCGACGGGTGCCACCAACAGTGGGGAGGCTGGTCAATGTCACCAAGGAAATCCTAGAGGTCACCAAGAATGAGATCCTGCAGAGCGTCTTCTTTGTCTCTCCAGGTAGATTTCTGGCCAGAGCTGTGTTCTGGGTCTAAGAACAGGATAGGCCAGTGTGGCCGCCGTCACCTTCAGCACTGGTCTGTCCTGCTAGTTTCCACGTCCGTTCCTGGGATGGGGGTGTGTTGTCGTCCGACACCCCCACCCTGGTCCACCTGAGCTTCACACAAGAGGAGCTGGGGGTGGGAAAGGCCCTACATGAGATGCTAACTCGCGTGGGCGGGCACCCAACTACAGTGCCAGCCTCCCTGGAATCAGGTGCTATCCAGACAAACGAGGGACACTGACCCTATGGACAGGATGCAGTGAGGCTGGCCCCACGCTTCCTCTGCTCCGAGACGTTTGAAAGTTAGTCCTCAGGGTGTTCGGTTTAATAGCTTCACCTTCTGGAAAAGGCAGCATTTCCTTCTGCCTTGCCCCCAGCTTGCGTTCGGGTCTTCCCTTCCCTCCCGGGGGCTCTTGGGGCAGGAAGATGGTCTACTTCCAAAGCCCGTCCCCTACTCCTCTCTCGCCCCGTCCTGCAGCCAGCAACGTGTGCTTCTTCGCCAAGTGTCCGTACATGTGCAAGACGGAGTACGCGGTCTGCGGCAACCCGCACCTGCTGGAGGGCTCCCTCTCCGCGTTCCTGCCGTCCCTCAACCTGGCCCCCAGGCTGTCTGTGCCCAACCCCTGGATCCGCTCCTACTCGCTGGCGGGAAAAGAGGAGTGAGTTGGTCCCCTGGCCACAGGGCCGTGCACATTAGTCCCTGAGAGTGAACAGTCCTATACCAAGGCGTTTGTACCCCAAAAGCTACCTCAGTCTTCCTTCCTCATTTCATATAAATCCTTGTCTCATATAGATCCTGGGACCACCTAGCTGGTGTCCATTCTTATAAAGAGCCTACTATGTGCCAAACACTAGGTGCTAGGGGATACAGATATGAAAGACACAGGCTTCCCCCCCAAGATGCTCCGTGGTCTGGCTGGGTGGTCAGAGAGGTAGCCAGATTATGAAAACACAGCACAACGCCTGCTGAGATACGGAGACACCCACCAGGAGCCTGCAGGAGAGACAACTGGTCCCCCTGAGTAAGCCTGTGAAGCCAGGGACCCCACCATTGTATCCCTGGGGCTTAGCACACTCCCTGGCACGTAGTAGGTACTCAGTTCATATTAGTTGACTGAGTGGGGGATGAGGAATGTCTCAGGAGAACTGCAGGACTCAAGACTTGGCTTGGTGAGAGGACCTGGAGAGGAAGGAAGCAGGCCAGGGACACGGAGCCAGGCTCTTGCCTGCTGCCCTGTCATCTCCCCTCTGTCGCATGGTGGCCCAGCCATCATTCCAGCACCCAGCACAGCCGATGCTCAGGAGACATGTCCTGAAAGGACTCCAAACCTTCTCACCACATGGAATCTGTGTCCTTCCGTGTCTTTGCCCAGGGCCCACCCAAATGTCCCATTACCACCTGCATGCCCAGGGCAGGATTAGGGATTTGGGGGCGGGGAGCGGTGTGAGGAGGGCCCCCAACACCTTGCCATCTTGGCTCTTCCAGCCCCAGGACTGGTTCTCCCCCTCAGGTGGGAGGTCAATCCTCTGTACTGCGACACAGTGAAACAGATCTACCCGTACAACAGCAGCGACCGGCTGCTCAACGTCATCGACATGGCCATCTTCGACTTCCTCATCGGTGGGTCCCATGCCCCAAGCCCCGGGCACAGGGGGCTCTGCTGCTGCTCTGGGGTTCTCCCCAACCTTGGGCACCAGTTACAACCCAGACCATGAGGACTGAACTAACCCCATACCGCCCATGGCTTCAGAAGTGGTAGAGGCCCCAGAGGCTAGAAGTTAACATACTCCCCTCCTGCGAGGGGATGTCACTCCCAAGGCAGGGACATAAGCCTGCAAGCCAGGTCCTAGTGGGCCTCAGGCTTGAAGTCACTGACCCCCTTGACCAAGGGAAGGGAAACCAGGGAGGACAGGAGGGTGCACTGTGAATGGGTGGCGGAGGGGAGGCCTTGGGAAGTGGCTGGTCATTCACCTTCACATTCCTTGGGGACACAGGAAGGCTAGTGAGAGTTATGAAGGCAGCCGGCGCACAGAGGCGCAGACCTGAAGTCCTACAGCACCCACCCCAGCTCGGTGTTAACCCCGGGGAAGTTAACCTGTGTCTGCTTACTACCCAGGCCTGAGGGTTGGGGGAAACAGTGAAAGCCTTAGATTTGCAAAGTCCCCCCTAGGGTGTGTTGGCTTGTTTAGCTTCCCTCGGCAACATCCCTCATCGCCTGGGTTCAGACTCACTTCTGAACTAACAGGCCTCCATGCGCTGGAGACAAACCAGGTCAGGAGCACCTGCCCCCAGCCTATAGGCCCTAGCTCCAACGTCTCCCTCCTTTACAGGAAATATGGACCGTCACCATTATGAGATGTTCACCAAATTTGGGGATGACGGGTTCCTTATTCACCTTGACAATGCCCGAGGGTAAGTGTCCCACCACTCCTCCTGGGCAGCCATGGCCCTTGCAGCTGCTCAGGGGAACCAGCAGCCCAGGAATGAGGGGCTCTGGTCACATTCCCCGTCTCCTTGCCCTACTTGTTTCGTTTTTTGTTTCTCTTGATGGGTGCTAAGTACCATCCGTTTCTCCTCTACCCTGAGAGCACTAGCGAAATAGATTGGAGCCTGCCATCGCTCTTCACTCGAGGGCTCACTGCTGGAGGCAGAGCCCGGGGCTCGTCCTCAGTAGTTGGTGAACAAGTGAATGGGTGAATGATTGCTTGGTTTTAACACCCTTGGACAGAAGCTTTGTGACCTGATTGAGGACAGGGGCTGGAGGGGCAGCTGCCATGATCCCTCATGTTTCTACCCCAAACTGTGCCTAAAAAAATAAAAATAATGGCCGAGGTAGAGGAGAAAAAACATTAGGAGGGAGATGCTGCTTGCCACCCACCACCCACGAAAGCCTGTTTCTCCTCCTAGGTTTGGACGGCACTCCCATGACGAACTCTCGATCCTGTCGCCACTCTCCCAGTGCTGCAGGTGGGCGTTCAGCTCGGGCAGGTCACAAGCGTGACACGTCATCCTGCTTGCAAGCGAGATCTGAGGCCCTTACTTGGTTTTCATTGGTCTAGGACATGGGTGGGTGGAATGACAGGAATTACCAGTGACAGAATTTCCCCCGACATCTCAGATTCTTTCATCTTTCAGCATGGGATGAATTAGGATCTTTTATTTTTCTATTTTTACCAATGACAGAATTTCTCCCAACATCGTCTCAGATTCTTTCATCTTTCAGCATGGGATGAATTAGGATCTTTTTTTTTTTTTTTAAACCTTTCAATCACAAACTTTAATCTTCAGCCCACTCAGGTAACATTCATCCACTTTGGCAGAGCCTGCCTTTGATATGACTGATCAGACTCCACTTTGCCCAGCATTCATATAAGCTCATAAATATTACTACTTGATCACCATCTAAGTAAAATGCTGACTCCAGTCCCATAAGCCCACAGCAGATGGAAAGGAAGTACTGACACCTTCACCTGGCCACCATCTCTGGAGAATCTCTAACCCACTTCTGTTGCTCTCTGGTCTCACCGGGTGTGTGGAATTGTCCAGCTGCAGTTAGAGCTAATTAGGAACATGGGACTCACGCCTAGCAAAGCCATCTCATTCATTTTCAGCTGGAACACCCAGAATGAAGCCTGGATTTTCTTTACCCACCTCTTAAGTTAGTTTAGATGTGCTTCCCTCTTGGCCTCCCTTCCTCTCGAGTAGGGCAAGCAGTTTAGGACAAAAGCTGGACAGTTAGGCTGCTTCTGAGTTCAAGTCAGATTCCCACGTGAAAAGAAATCAGAATCCTAAAGTTAGTCAGTCCCACCCCATTTTCATCCTGCCGATCTGAGAATCTCAGACTGAGAAGTATCATCAAGTTGCCAAGAAACAACTTGGGAGGCCAGCAGTGCCTACAGCTTTTGAGATGGTGAACTTCATCATTTTCATGACTAAAAACCTCTTATAGCTTTAAATCTCCGTGACCTCATGATCACTATGGATTCCCTTAGCGACGTCAGATGCATATGGTCCAGCATCACCGGGTGGCATTACAATTATTAAACGGCTCAGCAGGCCTTTGACCAAAAGGCAACTGGGAAAGGGCTGAAAATTATTGGCTCATCTTTTATTCATTCCTTTTTTATCTGATTTTCCTTAAAATGTGCTTGAGAAGAGACCGAGGCAGAGGCTCTCAGAACATCAGCTTTTTGTGGGGAAAGTGAGTTCAGGTAAGTTACTTTCTTTACATATGCTTATTTGGCTCCTATGACTCTGTCCTTCCAGGATTAAAAAGAAAACGCTTCTGCACCTGCAGCTGCTGGCCCAAGCGGACTACAGACTCAGCGACGTGATGCGGGAGTCCCTGCTAGAGGACCAGCTCACTCCCGTCCTCACAGAGCCCCACCTCCTCGCCCTGGACCGGAGACTCCAGATCGTCTTAAGGACCGTGGAGGGGTGCATAGCGGCCCACGGGGAGCTGAGTGTTGTCGCCAGTGGCCTAGCAGAACAGGCAGCCCCAGACTCTGGCCAGGCTAACTTGACAAGGTAGTGGCTGGACAAGCCCCACGGCAGAAACGACACCTGGAGCCAGCAGTGCACTCGAGTGCGGGCCTCAGCGTCCTCATGTGCCCCAGTCAATGCTGGAGGTCCTGGGTTGTGAGCTCGGGAAGCAGCTAGGGCACTGGGATGATCCTAAACGTGCCAAAGAAGTGGGACCCACAGCACCCTTCTTCCTTGGTGCACTGCTTCTCCAGTGGACTGACTGCCCTGGCTCCCTCCTGCCCAGGAGGTATGGCTCCATTGAGGCTTCAGACTGTCCCCTGAGCCCACTGGGAAATCTGGGTAAATCTGGATACAGGTCAGGTTTGAAAGGTCTGGAAGCCTTGATCCCAGAAGAGAGTATTAATTGTTACAAATAAAATAAAAGGACATCAAGTGGACACCTAACCAACCTCCAGATCCTTATTCTACCTACGAGCGCAATTTCCAACCCAGGTAAAACATCTGGCACATGACGAGTGAACAAAAAAATCCAACACCAGTAACTCTCAAGTAGGTTCAAAGCAGACCTGACACTTTCTCCTTATACACCCGCTGTGGCCCAATCTGAGGACAACAATCACCACTGACCGGTCCTCTAAAGTAACTTCTAAGAAATGTTATTACAAGACATAAAAGTAACAGGGATTTGCTCAGAATATCAGAAAAGGGATGTTTCTCTCTGAAGACTATTTAACTATCAATTGAAATAACATCAAGTATGTCAAAATTAGCTTCCAACAGGAGGAATTTTAATGAAGGGCAACAAGGTTGGTCTTGAAGGTGGGACAGCACAGGCATGGGCCCAGCAGGTTCATGAGCCTGGACTGAGGCAAAAGAAAGCCAGGGCCTAGCACAGCTCACCAGCCATAATCTTTCCCAAGATCCAGGAATCGCCCCCACCTGCCCCCAAGAGCAGTAGGGCCATCTGAAGAGGTCTCTGTAGCACACTAGGTGCCCCCCTCCTCAGCTGCTTTCTCAAAAAGGCCTAAACCTAAGCCTCCCTCAAAAGGGAGTATATCGCGGATTGCCTGTCTCCTCTCTCTTCTCCCTCCTGACGCTGACGTCTGAAGCTCCTGTAACAGGAGGCCGTCTCATTCCTAACTCACAACTGAAAACAAATGACAGGCAAGGATTCATACTACAGAGTGATTAGTCAGTCAGCAAGTAAACACTCCTGATTATATGGGATCAGCTCCCAAAGGCCAGAAGAGTGCAGACAGTCCAAGTGTGAGTGGGTAGGAAAACGCTGTCACTAAAGAGGGTACAAGGTCAAGACTAGAGAAGTGACCCGACTTCTGCAATATGTCCAGAGACAGTCCCGATGAGACAAGTAACGAGAGAATTCCTGACCCACCCTGATGCCCCACAGCACACTGCCCCTAAACTGTGTCTCCATCACCATACGCTGCACTCTCACCAGGTGTGAGAATGAACACAGGTTTCCCATCCTCCCGAACACAGACAGGATCCCCTATTTCCACAGAAGGAAAGTGATGCTGAGACTAACGAAAATCACACACCTCGATTTAAATCACTCTGAAGTGTTCTTTCCACTGCAATACAGAAACCAATAGAATCTTGCCCAATATATGAAGTTACATTTCTTTACCTCAAAGAAAAAAAAAGAAAAAAACTCATTTACTAGAGGAACCTTAATGCAGAGACTTCAACAGCCCAGGGCTTCCTTCATGAACTGTTCGCCTACTTCAGGTTAATAATTCCCTTAGGAGGAGGAACCGGGTAACTGCACACAGAAGGGAGAGAAATATTCAGGCAAAGATGTTCAAATAATCACACAGCGGTCTGGGGCTCCAATCGCAGTGCCTCAGAAAGGTTAAGCTGCAGCTCCATCTCAAGAGAGCCTTCCCTAGAATGCACTGGGTTTCCAATGCCTGTGACACCAACTCGGGCGTACTTTACAAATGGAGACAGAACTGAACGACCATAAGGTATAGAGTACCTAGATACCTAATGATCCCCTTACCTTAAACATCCCATTAGGTTTTCACTAACAACAAAATTAAGCCTCTATCACTTGTCAAAAATAGCAGAAAACAAGACTCTCTTCTTAGAATTATCAAGTTCTTCTAACATGTTCGTTTTAGACCATTGTTCAACTTCTCAGGACATAAAAAACCCGTGAGCCTCTGGTTACATTTCTGTCGCCCAATCAATACATAATCTTGTTTCACGTGTGTTAATGAATCAACAGTATATACTAAGGTTTCTTTAACACAACTTGTGTGTCTCACGCCTGAAAGAAGCTTGTTTAAAACATTTAACTTTCATCCCTCTTGCCCTTAGAAACGCTGGCCAGCACTTCAGCCCTACACTTGGGGGCCATTTTAAACAGTGAAATCACCAACAGAAAGCACAAAAATGCAAAAAAAGTGGAACTAAACAGACCAGGAAAAGGATGTCTGGTCACAGTATGAACGCCAAACGAAAGGCGGAGTCGCCTTGCTCAACTGGAGCTGGGCTCGTGCATGCTGGGAGACTCACTCTTTGCCACTTATGTCTGGAAATGACTGTGAAGGGCTGCGAGTTCTGATTCTGGGGTTACAAATAAATCTCAGCAAATAGGCAAATACGGTATCTGTGAATGAGAACTGTAACTTTGAGATTAACAAAGATTAACAAAAAAGCTCTCCATCTAGTGGTGACTTTTAAAATCACAAAGCTACATAATCTAAATTGACAGAACTTTCACAAAATGAAAATCTTATACTCATTAGTAGCTGTGGTAGTGACAATGGAATAGAGTCACAGCTCTGAACTTATGCCGGTAAGCAAATTCTAACTTGATAGGTCCACAACAATACTGATTTCTACGTACAAGTTCTGTAGGGTAAGAAGAGAGACCAATGATTCCCCCTTTTAAACCTTCCTACTGACAGCCTTTACTGGTAACTGTTATGATAGCTACCTTCGGGGATGTACTAAATGGTGACCTAGCCACTGCCCCTCAAGATTGTTTTACAAAGAGGGTTCAGCTATTAATTTGTGGTTGGAGATACAGCAGCTTTAGGAAAACTGACATCATGCTACTTCAATTTTAAAATGTTATTTAAGTCATTAAAAAACAAAAAACAGTTCTATATGAGCCAGTGTTTTAGAGAATTAAACTATAAGCAGTACAACCTAGGAACATTTTTTTTTAATGTTTTTATTGATTTTAGAGAGAGGGAGAGGAACATCAATGTGAGAGGGAAACATCAACCAGCTGCCTCCTGCAGACTCCCTAGTGAGGATGGAGCCTGCAACCCTGGCATGCGCCTTGACGGGGAATCAAACCAGTGACCTTTTGGTGCACGAGAGGACGCTCAACCAACCAAGTCATACTGGCAAGGGCAACCTAGGAACATTTTTAGTTGTATTCTGTTGTAACTCTAAAGGTTCCACTCCAGTGAGTTGAGGGAAGGGATTACTGAGTCTGGACAAGACGTTACAAAGCAGTGCAAATTAAAGGGTGATCTAGAATACATTATCTCCAACTCACTGGATGTAAGGAAATTAACCGATAATGAGTACAACTTAATTATCTCACTCCTGAGACAGAAGACTTTAGACATGCAAAATATATAAACATACCTCAATATCTAAGTTGCTGTTAAATTTAAACCAGAGAGTATGCTGGTCCAGAAATAATGTTTTTTTCTCTGGGAAAATTCCAAAGCCAGAGAACCAGCCCTCAATAAACAGGAAATCTCTAGCTTCTGATTTAATCTTTTCCTTCCACTACTCTGTGAGCGGATCTGCTGTATCTCAATTACCCTGTAAGAAAAGTTTTCAGATTCATTCTCTGACAAGCTGACTTGGAAACCATTGAAAACAAACATTGACTCTTTCCAAACACTAATCCCATAATTCACTTTCGATTTTCACTCTTGCCCACCAGACTGGGAGATTCCAGGGGGAGGGGAGGGAGAAGAGAACAGAAGGACAAAGGGAAGAAAAACTGATTCACTTAAGAATTTAAATTATTTAATCTGTTTTTATTACTTGACCTACCGTTAAGACAATCCATAACAAAAAGAATAGAGTATATTAGCACACACAGTATCAGACTAGTAACCAGGAAACAATACAAAATGGTCCTTTGGCCATCTATACTTTCTAGAGCAACAACAGATCTGAGAGATTCACTTACCAAGCCCAGAAATGACGACTTCTAAAGTCCTGATTATCAGCTAAGACAAGTTACGCCAATCGTGATATCTCACGTATACTCAGACTGCACAAAGATAAAGCTTTAAATGTGATAATTTTTAAATTTAGACTTAAAAGTTTCTTAGATTAAAAACTACAAAAGGGAGTAAACAGCAAGCCAAATGATTTAAGAGAAAAACTCATTTAGGAAGCATTATATGTATCTAAATATACATGAATGTGATTATATACATATATGAAACTGTAATTTATGGCATTCTAAATAATTCACTGAAGTACAGTTTTGGCATTTAAACAAAGATCAAATCAAGCTTTACGCTAATAACATAATTTTTATTTTTAATTTTTTAAATATAAAAAGGTAGCTAAACACAACATATAGATCAGAAAACCCTCATTTAATATAGATTATTTTGAAACATAAAAAGTTTGTTAACAAGGTGGCTTTCTATCTCACACTAAAATGTAAATAAAACCTCTTTCCCAGATTTATACTCCAAACTTAGTAACAACCTAAAAACTGTTGAAATCTCTGAAAAAAATCTACCACAACCAATTTAAATGGCCTGGGAAAGGACAGGAGAGGGGATTAGTACCCAGAGCCAGTCGCATACAAATAGAAAAATGCTTGCAGTCACTCCCAGAGAGAACCCTGCGTTACATACAAATCAAAATGAAAAAAGTGCCTACATTATGGAACTGTGAGATTTTGTTTAAAAAAAATAACATAATAAAAATAAACTGTTGGGTTTCATTGGTGCACTGTGGAATAATGGAACACACAAGGTTGGTAAGGCTGGAAAATACTGAAAGACAGTTAAGACTCAAAACACAAGCTGACTTTAAAAATCAACATCTGCAAGAGAAGTGCTAGATAGAAAGCAGAACTTTTCAGCAGGATGGCCTTTTAGACCAATTTGAAACACAGACATATCCTACCCCACCCCCAACCCACAGTAAATTCTAGTTGATGTAAAAAGGAGGGAAGGGCAAACCAAAGTAAAAAACTTCTTCCCAAATCTCCCGCCCCAATGAATTTAGTGGGGCAATGTTCCTAACAATGAACTCTGTTCACCTGGCCTTTCTCCCTTTAGCAACATCACCCCCATGCTTGTTATGACATTTGCTCCATACATTCGGTCTATTCCCAGCAAATCCAGTCTCCTGGCATCAGTGTTAATGAGCACAGGAGATTATCCTGGAGTCAACGGAGAAATGTGCACTAACCAAGAGCTCTAAGTTAGTAACCAAGAGTGTAGACCTCCAATAATTCTTCTCAATTCAGCATCTGATGATCAATATTTGGCACTAGCTGGATAAATAAGGGTCTATTCAGACATTGAGAGATGAGGCAGATGGAGTTAAATCATAATCAATGTGTAAGCCTATAACTTAGTCTCAAACTCTACAGGTAGGTCTAGGTGGCCACACCTATTTCAGAACTGGAGAGGAAACAGTAACAAGATATAACCAATACCAGGCAAATTAGCCTGACAAAACTTCGGGTTAAAAAGAGAAGAAAAAAATGTAACAGATCATATCCATCTGATAATTAGCAAAAATGGGCATTTTCCCACCCTTAATCTACTTTAAACACAGGCAAATATCTTTCTAAGATTTTTCTACATCCATTTTTCCTAATCCTTAGAGCTTAATGAGAAATCATTTATTCTATAAAGAAATATAGCACATATGGCCACAATCTAAAATATGCTTATGATAACTGGAAAATTATGTTACTTAAAAAAAAACCTTGCACTGTTACATCATCACTCTATGGTAATTCACTTGGTGCAAGGATCTGCCCTCACCAAAAAGCAAGGCACAGACTGCCCAGGTGGGAACTAACACTGCACAAAGAGAAGCAGTAACAGCACGGTCTCCGAAGAACTCTCTATTTATTTAACTGTGTGAGAGCATTCAGTTAATGCTCCAAATGAAAAACGGTGCAATAAAGCAACTTTAATATAAACAGACAAGAAGCTGCGATGCCAGTGGCCACGTGGTGCTGCGAGTAGGGAAAAGAAAGCAGTGTGCGAGAGTGAGGCATGACTGGGGGGGAGAAAAGGGAGGCACAGGAGGCAGATTTCAGACAGACAGCGACACGAAACTGTTGTACTGCTGGATGTTTCGTTTGAGGATATCTGAGCACGGGCCAAGAACACGTTCAAATCTAGGTCGGTCCAGCTTGACGCACTTCAAAGGGCCCCGAGCCACCACTGTGGCCGCACGGGGACGATTCATCAGGAGTGCTATTTCACCTGGAGGAGGGAGAGAGAGGAGTAAGAGAAGGCTGACTTCTACAGGAAGCATTTTCTTAGAAGTGCACTTCTGAGAAAGCAAAAACAAATATGTATTTCTCTTAATAACTCAGTACAGGCCACATCACATCTGTACTTAAAGACTGCAATTAAAAAATAAAATTCAGGAGAAGAAAAGAGAAAATATGAGACTACAGTACTGCACTTAAAGGTGATTAAAAAAACTACATATTTATTTTGAGGAAATCTACATACCAAAATAATCCGAAGGCCCCAATCTTCCCACTTCAACAAACTCTTCATTTTCTGACCTGCGTTGGAGCACAGCAGCTGACCCCTATGATAAAATCACCAAAAAGCACAACAAACATTTTCAAATGCAGGTGACACTTTAACTTACTATTTAATTTTAGCTCCTGGGGTGGGGGGATTCCACGGTTATTGCAAAACCTGTGTTCATATGACAAAAGCTGACAGAAGAGAGTAACTACATGAGCTTACTTCCTACTTACACAGCAGCCCCTGCTAGGGGGCCCTTGTCATCAAGCTAAGGTACTTGGGTAACTTGGAGGGTTGACACAGGTTAGCAAACTAGAGGAGGCAGGAAGGGGTGATCCAAGCTTACTATCTGTTTTTATAGGTAAACTTCATAGGAACCACACAACTCATTAACAGTGTCTATACTGCTTTTGCTCTATAATAGAGTTGAGTCTTCACAACAGAAACTCTAGGGCTCACAAAGCCTGAGTTACTGACCATCTTGCCCTTTACAGAAAGAGTCCCTAGGTCCCTCCACCCCACCCCCAGGTTAAAAAAAACAATTAGCATCTACAGAGCCACTTTCGTAGAAAATCTTCTTTTGGATCTACTTGTCAGTCAAGAGTACCTGCTATATACATTTCCATGGGTTGTGAAGATATAAAACACAGTAGCTTTTAGAATGTAAACCCTTGCCTTTGATCCTTGGTTGCCAATTAGCCCAAACACATGATTTTAACAAAGATGGTGCAGAATCATTATAGTTTGTTATGCTAAATAGTTTTTTGGCTTACATAAGGAAGATTAACTTCAGTAGTTCAGAATCTGGATACTACTTCATGAAGAGCCCTTCCGGAATTCTGACTCAAATGCATTTAAAATGTAGGGGTCTGTCAGAAAGCCAAACACCAGCTTTTCAAAGTGAAAGGCAATTTTTAAATAAAACTGTCAGTCTCTATATCTAAGGGTGTGCATGAGAATTGTGCCTTTTTTCTCTCTTATAGTGCACAACTTCTTAAAGTATCAATGCAGAGCCTTTTACCTCCAGAATGATGAAGAACTCATCCCCTGGTTCTCCTTGCACCACAATCTTCTGCCCATCTTCAAACTGGACTGGTTCCAATGCATCAGCTACTGTGAGACGTTCCCACTTGTCCAAAGATTCTGAAAAGCAAGAATCAAAAGAATTTCTCCACATTATTTGGTACTGCTAAAAATTTCAGAACAGAAAGTATAAAGAGAATCAACCATACAGCCATGCCCACTCAACACTCCAACAGTGTCTCAGATTAAGCATGGCGCCTGTCTTCAGTTATCTCTAGTATCGGCAAGACCTCCCATTACTCACAGAAAACCCTCAGATCCTTACTTCAGCAGCCCCAGCAGCCAGGTTAATTTAGACCAACTGCACCCAATGGTAAAGGAATCAAAAAAGTAATCATTATGTATTCCTAAAGACTGCCATCAATGCAAATCAAACGTGCGATTACAGAACACAAAAGTAATAGTGTCACCATCCTTATTATTCCAGAGGTTCACAGAAACATTATCTATTTAAATCCTCTGCTGAATTAATTTATTAAATCAACAAGAACTAGAAAATAGTTTGGCTTTCGAATAGAAGTTAACACCCAAGACATTAAGCAAATGTAACCGTTTCAGAGAAAGGAGAAATGGGGGGCATCAATTCACCTAACAGAACAATGGCAGACGAAATCCTACCTTTTCCCTCTCAATGAAGAGCAGGTTCTAACAATACATACACATATCTCCAAAGTGTCAACAAAACTTCTAGCATTTTTCAGAGAAAGCAAATGACACCTAATCTTTCTTCAGAGGAAATGCATTCTTGGAAATACTTCCCTTAACCAATCAACTCGTGATGGAGCAACAGAGACAGGAGTCACATCGTCAATAGTCAGAATGTAAATGTGCAGTCAGGACACTTTTAGCCTTTTCATCTCTCCAGGAGAATTAAGTAGCACAGAATCCCAGAAAGCTTTTCCCAGGCCCAATCTTTCTAACGGAGAGGTCTGTCATATCCTAGCCAATTAAGCACGCTTTAAGGTTAATTCTTAGTCAAACTTGACCCTCTGTACCCGTGTTTTACATTACTATTAGGAAAAACTGAGCTGATAACTAGAGTAGTTTTTATGAAATACAATAGATCCTACTCAAGTACTGTTAACACTTCAACTTAATTCTCCATGCAATCTTCCAAAACTCACCAAGAATAGACACTTTACTAAGGAACTCCTCGTACATCTTCCGCTTTCTCAGAGTGCTTCCCTATAAAAAGTAACAAACGTCATGTCAAAAAAATGTGTGATTATCAAATAATGCTATGAAATAATAACTACTAAGTTTCAAGTAAATTAAGAGAGAGAGAGAAATCAGAGCTTGCTGCTGCTGCTTGATGCATGATTATTTTTCTTCATGTCGAAGATCGTAAGGCCCTGTTTAGCTCAATAAAAACCTCTCAGCTACTTGCTCCTAAAAAAAACACCAAGTACATGGCCAAAGGTAGTTCCTCACACCACCAATTAGTGAAATGCCAAAAAAGCAAATAATCAGCTCTTCAAAAAAAAAAACAAAAAACCCCAAGAAATAATATCTGTGACTATAGCTAAAAACATTTCCAGTTCAGGATCCTTCCTCATAACCCCAATCCTCCACAGAATAAAACTGCTACCACTTACAGCCCACCCTCCCCACCCCCCAAAAAGGGCCATAGCCCCACACTTAACCAAGTTGTCTTATCTGCAAAGTTTGCTGATTCTATCTACAAGGAAAAAAGAGGCACAGTCCCCTCTAATAAACATGCCTTACACAATAAATTGCCATGGCGATTTATATACTTATATTGATATACATACACACATACCCATGCCCCAAATACAGAAAATGTTCAAAGTACATGTAACTGCACAAATCTAGAAAACCATTCAAGATGACTAATGAAACATTCAAAGCTACTCTAAATTTGTCACAGAGTTCTCAAAAAGTCTGCCTATGTCAGTAGAATGTTCCGATGGTTTTATTATTTTCTTTATTCCTGCAGTGAGAGGGAATATGACATCTGCATTACCGATAACCCACTTTCAGTTTAAGGAAGCTGACTACTTGTGAATGGCCTTAAGTAACTATGCATTTAGAAGCAGCACCTATCGGACTATCTGTGACGTGTCAAGATTAGGTAAGTGAAGATGTGCCTATCAGCAAATGGACAGAGTCCCAAACACGAGCGACCATTCCATATACACATTTGTTTCCACGTTATTCCTGGCCAAATGTTTGTTCTAAAAGATAACTGTCTCAAATGGTACAATGAATGATGCGAAATTGGGCTTAATGCAAAGCATTCAATCATTAAAAGTAACATTCTCATTTTAAAATTTGGTGATATTATTCAATTTAAACATTAGTTACATAGACGGGCAGTCTAAATCACGCTACAAAACCCATGGTCTTACCATAAGGATTCTTCTATAGCTGTCTCGGTCAATTCCCCACAATTTCACATTTGTCTTAGCTTTGACAGTGGCTGCTCGAGGTGTCCCATAAATCAAAGCAAGTTCGCCAAAGCTCCCTCCTTCCCCAACACTGGTTGCCCATTCATTGTTGACATAGACCTAAAATGCAAATCACAAAGAATTGTACACAAACACCTAAGTATTAAAAACCCGTAAACCTTTTCCAGGGGAAAGAATTCTGAACTTTGTTTTAAATAGAATATACTGTTTTCAGTACACAGCAAAGTACTTGACTTCTGACAACGAGTTAAGTAAGTTCAGCATGTCTGATTTACCTTTTACCTGGTTTAATCACGGTAAGAAAAAGGCACTCTGTGCTGATGATCAGGGCAGGAAGGTGAACTAAGCATTAATAAACCCACATGCATTTGTAGAGCACTGTACTGAGCACTTTGCTTATTTAATAAGCAGTTTACTTGCACAAGGCACTGAATTTCCTAATAATCCTATGAGAACAATGCCATGAGCATCCCCATTTCTTTTGTAAACAAAACTTACAGAATCAAGGAAGTTGTACCAAGTCTCATAACTAATGACTGGGTCTAAGGGTCTCCCTTACACTCGTCTTACTCCATAGCACACACGCACGACTTAACCATTACTCCAGCGAAAGTTCTGAATTACTTGCCTACCTAAAGGAAAAGACCTTTAAAAAATTCTGTCACTAAAATATATGGCAAAGGTATTGATGGAATTTGACATGCAAGAGCTGTAACAGCCTTTGAGAAACTCTCAGAAGCAATAAATACCAATACATTGACTTTTAAGATTATCAACATATTTTTGTTCTTATTAAATCTTACATCCATCTCTCCTTGATCAATCACATAGAAGTTATCCCCTTCATCACCTAAAGGAAAGTAAAAGAGATAGAAACATTTTACAAATTAAAGAAACTATCAAATTAATGTAAAATAATAAACTTATTTATAGTATTACTATAAGAGAAGGGAGCATGTTATAAATTAACGCCATCTTTCAGGGGGCAAAAAGTCCAGCAATATATTTTAAAAATCATAAAATTGATCAAATTTTCAGTCATCTCATTAAGAAAAAATACCTCTGAAAAGTAATTTAAAAAACAAACATATATGTGTACAAAAATAATGACTGCCTATCATCTATAACAGCAAAACAAGAAGCAACCCAACTAGTAAGTAACAAAATATCAGACTGTCACAAATGGAAAAATACATGGATTGTAAAGACCTATGAAAAATCAAGAGTACATAAGAAAGGCAAAAGGAGAGGAAGGACCCAAAAGATTAGATCCACGTGAGTACATGTGAGCTAAAAGATACGTATCACAAGAAGATATAAAACCTCATAAACAGATAAGCTACACAATGAAGAAAATAGTTTTGCTTATTTCCTACTTTATAAGTGGTTAGTAATAATATAAAAGATAATATGATTCTGAAATCCCATACATTCAAAATAAAAATGCAGGAATTTCCTTTAACAGTTACTATAAACAAAATTGTGTCAGATGGTAGGGAAATAGTAGTCCTTTCGAGAAAATGTGTCTTTTAGTTCATCCAATTTTAATTTTCTAAAGAAACAAAAATTCAGTAGTACAACATAAGTAAACTGGTGGGCTGAAAGAGGAAAATAAACTTCGATATTTTAAAATTCCTACAGCCTCGGCTCCTCCCCCAAAATAATACTGCATGCCACAAAAGCAGCAGCCCTTACCTTGCTGAATAACGGTCTCTCCAGCAATAAAGGAAAGTGGAAACATGGCATCAAAAATATCACTGCAAGGGACAGAAGACCTCGTGTTACGTTTCACACACCTCTTCTGTGGATTTCAAACATTAACCTTAAGATTCAAGCTCCTAGATTTTCAGCAGGGATTATCATCAGTTGAGTAATGAATGTTAACACGTGCAACAATGATGAGGCTGGTTTGGGACCACAGCTGTACAGGAAAGCAGGGTAACAAAGAACCTACACCTACCTTCTCTCGTTATCATCAAGATGTGAAAACAGCACATTCTTTTCAATGGCCTTGGCTAAAGCAGCCATTGTCTTGTAATCTTTCGGTATAACCTAGAAAAGAATAGGTGGAATGATGATTGCGTAAACCAAAAACATTTCATGCTTGCAACCTGCATATCAAGTAAATGACAAGCTGCATCGCGGTATTTAAACAAGACTGCTCTAAGTATTTTCAACATAACATACACATACTACCTTTAGTCCACAAAGTACTCAACAAATATTGACTAGTTAATCCCCTTGTCTACAACCAGACCTGTATTTAAAGGCTGGTATTTGGTTCCCAGTCAACAGCTAAAGAAACAAACCAAAAAACACCTTGACCAAGGTCATTATTCTAGGCAAACTAGACATTTTATGATTGTCATTTTTTAAGCTGTGATTGTGTACTCTTAGTTCCACAAGCCTCTTGCCAGGACGATTCTCCTCCCCCTTTAAGCCACTAGTATAACCTGAAACGGCAGGTGGGTTCTCAGGAAGATCCAATTAGGATGAAACTAGTAAAATAAAAGGTCAGAGGCCACAGCATGAATGACAGGATGTCAAAAACCTGACACCATGACTCAAGAGAAGTAAACGAGTACTGCTTCCATCTACTGTGATCATCGTCATGGAAAAGAAAACTCCCCAAACGCATTATTCCGTTTTACAATCACTCCTGCGGTCTTCTCTGATGGCGTGTTGCCACGGGAGTCTGCCCCCGCACCCCAGAAGTACACAGGATGGAACACAATCTATCCTGTTGGTGTTTCACTGTTCCAAACTCTGCGTGCCTTCATCCAAGGAACCACCACCACCATGCGGGTCTCGAAAACACCACCCCAAGTATTTAGACACCAAAGCTACCTTTCTGACATAGGATGCAGCGTCTTCCTCAGTGTAGACCTCGGCGCTGATGGCGCCCCGGCGCCTGCGGCCTTTCACCGCTGGGTTGGGTGGAGGAGGGGAGACTTCGTCCTCGCGTGAGTCCCCACGAGTGCTCGCTTTCTGCGGGTTCTGCATCTGCCTGGCCTCCTCCTGGAAAAGTGTGCACTTATAAATGAGACCTTTCAGGATGTAAAGCTGGTACGCGCACATTGCAGCAAGTCGTTTCAAACCCCTTCCTCTATCACCAGTGTAAAAGTTAAGGGGAAAAGCAATTCCAAATGCAAAAAAATGGAATGGAGTTTGAAAAGAATGTTCTGAAAGACTCTTTCTCGGGTGACAATAGGTGCTGTACTTACTAATGGGCAAAAGCCATTAGTACAAGGACACAGAACATGCAGGTAAAAACTAGATATGTATCATAGCAACACACTGACAACAAGGACTTGTAACACACACACCAGCAATAAACTGCAAAACAAAATCCTGGGGACTAGGTTTTTAGTATGCTGTGCAGACAGCATGAGACGCCCCTTCCCCCAAAGAAGAACGTGCTCAGGCAAAGCAAAGTGACCCAAGAGTGTCCAGATGACTGGGTTACTTCACTCAGTCAACAAGCATCTCTAGGTCTGCATGCCAAGGCTACGTTAAGCAAGGGAAACAGAAAGCAACAGAGGAGAGTCTTGAGCCCATGGAATTCAGTTTTAGCTAGAGTCTCAGAGAAAAACAAATGATGAAATTATGTGACAGTAACCAAAAATGGAAATTAGATCAAATCCAACAATGCTTCTCCCGGCAGAGCTACAAGCATTCGTCACTATTATCAGTGTTTACACTTGAAGTTAAATTTTAAAAAGTTTCCCTGCTTTTAAAGACACCTTGTCAAACTAATTCATATAAAAACTGAGATGAACTATTTTAACACTCTTATCGAGAGCCTTAAAAAGAAATTCCTCAGGTCTGCAGCAAAGCATGTTTATTGTGCCTGATACAAACGAAGACTGTTGACACACGTTACCCACCACTTCCTCACCTGCCTCATTCTACATTCCTTCCCTAAGCCACCTTTCACATTCAGAATGAAGTTGCCGCATTTACTGATGATTTCAGAAACCTTTTTGGTAAAAATAAAGGAGGTGCCTACTTTTTTCCTCTTTCATGGTACTCAGCCCTGATTTTGGCATCAAGACAAATAAAAGAGCTACATACACGCAGCAAAAAATGTCCAGGACAATAAGCATCAAGGTATTAACAGCATTCATTTCTACTGGCAGAGTCATGCCTGATTTTTACACTTTTCTTTTGTGGAAGGACAGGGTTTGCTTTATTTTTCTCATTTCTCTGGATTTTCTAATTTTCAGTTAAGAAAATATACAATAGGAAAAACCTGTAACAAAGATAGATTTAATATACTTACATATCTGATTACAAATGCTTTACTTCTTGACCAAATAAGTCATTCTATTTCTAGTTTATTCTAAGATATGTATATATGTGAAATAACATATATACAAAATTATTCACTATATCAGTTTTTAGTATGAACACTGGAAACAACCAAAATGGTCGTTAACAGAAGGATTTTAAATAAATTATAGTGTATCTATGCAATGAGATGCCACGTGTCTGAAAAGAATAAGCAGCACTTTTATATGTGAATTTGTCTACAACGCCCACATGCCTATGGAACAGTGGTTGCACTCAAGGAAGACAACAGAGAGAAGACTTTTTACTGTTATGCCCTTCTGTATCTGCGGAATTTTGAACCATATGCAAATATGTAACCAATTTTTTAAAAATACATTTTTAGAAAACTCACTTCATTTTCATTCTGGTAAGGTTTTCTGATTCCATATTAACACTCAACTATAAAACTCAAGTCTCCCCAAAGTCTAAAGTTTAAGAGTATATATGAAAACACAAATTCCACCCCCTAAATTTGTCATCAGAATTTCACAAAAATTTCACTAATTTCACAAATAACATTTCGTTTGGAACTATTCCGTCTAACTGAATGTTTGAGATAACTCTGAAGCACCAGACGCATTGACTTTGACAGCGCTGCACGGGCTCTCATCTTGAACAGCAGTCGGACATACCCTGATCTCGATGACTCGGGGCCATTATCAGGATCGATTTCCAATTATCCTTGTTCTTGTTGTGGTCGTTCTGTCAGTCTTCTTTCTGCTTCACTTCTTTCATATATTAAAACCGCGCCCGCTCCAGGCTATGTACTGGTTAACAGCATTACGTTCTACTGATTTATGTTCAGATTCTGTCCGGACCACTTAATGTTTTCACAGTTATTTGTTCCCTCCCTTCCCTTCCCATCCATTCTCCCCTATAGGTGAAGTTGCCTCCCCAGTGACTTGGGACTTAACCTTATGACTTGCTTTGACCATGGACAGTAAGTGGACATGCCATACCATGTCTGCGTGTATGGTCTGGCTCTATGCCCGAGTTTCTGTCCCCTCTCTGCCTTGACAGCAGCATGCTCTAACAGGGGCTGCTCCTTCCACTCAGGCCCAGAATATCACATGTGGAGTCAAGAAGACAAGGTGTGCTGAGCTCAGAAGAGCTGCCTATGACGGAGAAATAAGAAAGGTCTTTTGTATAAGCCACTGAAAGTTGAGGGTTATATGTTGCTGCAACAAAAACTATTACACTGTATAATCATAACCAAGTTACTTAATCACTCTTCGTTTTACCTGCTACCTCTATAAAATGGTGACAATCACCTCACACATCTGAAAAGAGTATGTATGTACATAAAGTGCTTCACATAGTACTTGGCACATAGCAGACACACAATGTTCGTAGCTAATTAAAATTCCTCTAATCTGTCAGACACGCAAGGTTCAAATATATGCATAAAAGGGAACTTAAATTCCAGACGACGGTCTAAGGTAAAATGCAGAAGCTTTCAATGGACCATCTGTGAGAGCTTTTGGTGCACTGAGTAGTTGAGGATACCAGAAACATGACCCCTGCTTAACACAAGGAAGGAGGTGACAAGAATGTGACTGTATTTTCAGGCATATAAACCTAACACTTAACGAATAGAACTGACCTGTTAAAAAGTTGAAAATCTACTTACTTGAAAGTCCTGGCTAAAGGAACGTATGCAAGTGAACAAAGACCCTTGCGTTATAGGGAAAGCTTGTTAAGTTGTGACTTTTCACTAAGAGTTAAAGAAACCAACCTGCAAAGAAACTAATTTTTAGATTTTTAAATCTAAAAATCCCACCTGCAAAGAAACTAATAATGATGCCTTGCCTTCCCCGATAGTGCTTAATCAGTGCTATAAGTACAGGCTTTGAAACTAGCACCATACATTCAACACTCCCTATAAAAAGACATGTAATATCTCACCAGCCTCATCCTCTTATCTGATGGTTTCTACTGATGTACAAAGAGAAAAGGAATCACCTTACAGTGACCCATTTCAGAATCAGATCTCCAGGAACCCACTTTATCGAGAAATAGAGACACCCATAGCAGCCTGGCTCTAAAGTATTTCACTGTTTGAGCAGCATAGCTTAAAAAAGAGAAAACCATGCCCTGGCCAGGGGCTCAGTTGGTTGGAGTGTCAACCTGTATACCAAAAGGTTGTGGGTTTTGATCCCCGGTCAGGGCAAGTATGGGAGGCAACCAATTGATGTTTCTCTCACATTGATGTTTCCCTCTCTCTCTCAAAAAGGAAAATCAATAAAACATATCCTCGGGTGAGGATTTAAAAAAAAAAAGCCACACACACAAAAAACCAGACTTTCTACAACAATTCCAATTCATAGGAACTGGTTGTTACTCTTGTTATTTTTAATTATTCTAAATAATGGTACTAAACACCAATTTTAACAAACAGCTTTTCAAGAAAACAGCAGAAAATGCCTGATCATTGAGCCAAACGTTTTTTAAACCTTAGTATAAAGATTGTTTTACTAATAAATTATGCTGATTAAGAAACTGTCCAAATCACCCTTGCAGGTTTGGATCAGAGGTTGGAGCATCGGCCTTCGAACCTAGGGTCTTGGGTTCAATTCCCTGTCAAGGGCAAGTGCCTGTGTTGCAGGTTTGATCCCCTGCCCCTGGGCACGTGCGAGAGGCAACCAATCAACGTCTCTCTCTCATATCCATGTTTCTCTCTCTCTCTCCCCCCCCCACTCCCTTCTGCTCTAAAAAACAAAACAAACAAAAAAAACTGTCCAAATCAATGGGATTTACTAGAAATATTCCCATTATACAATTAGGTAATGATCATGTACCTGAGATACACCCCTTAACTGGTTCATAAACATTATGAACCATACCAAAACTTCAATATGCAAAAAAAAAAGCTATAAATTTATCTCACAAACTTACTTACAGAAGCAAATCAAACCAACTGCTCAAAACTCTCAGCAATCCAGGCTTCCTCATTCATAGTTCCTTGAGGGAACTGACTAAAGCATTGTCTCTGACGCAATATTATAATTTTGCTCAGAAAAACATATACATATGCTTTGGTCACACTGATCTACACTCAGTGGGGATGAAAAATGAAGAATAAAAACTGGTTTAAGTTTTTTTTAAGAGAAAATAAGTCCTGACCAGAATTGTAAATAAAGTACAATTCTGACGCCCATCAACCTTGATCTCTGCTCTACAGTCAGTTCATCTGAGACGTATTCTACAAAAAGTGGACTTCACTAATTTGGAAGTTCTGATATACCAGTCACAGGCTAGGCTCAAGTGTTTCATTACCTTGGTTTTAAAGGTGGGATAAGGCTTATTAAGGTTACTTGCTTTGCTGAGGAACAGAAAACCATTAACTGCTTTCAAGTATGTTAGAATTTCTCACTCCATACAAGTGTGTGCTACTTCTGATCACTTGTATCTAGTTGGTTATTTTACCAAGTAAACTTAGCTTACAGGTTTGTTTTCTGACAAAGCCTACTAATGGCAAAGTTAAAAATTACCAATGCCTTAACTGCATTTTCTTTTGAAATTCTATTTTAGACTTCTTATTTGGTCAGAATTCCATTTCTTCCAAAAGATACAAATTAGTGACAATCTACAGAATTACATTTAACAATTGTCAGGGTCTTCTCATCATCTCCCCACATTTATTTTTACCTTCTCCAGCCTCTCAAAGTATTCCCTGAGGAATTCCATGGGTCTCTCGGGTCGCGCAGTGCACAACTGCACAATGGAATCCTTCAGCAGGGCCTGAATGTTGTGCTTCTGCACGTAGAGCTCACATTCCCGGAGGCTGCGCTCCTCCTCGGTGGCTGCAGAGCTGCCAGATGCCATGGTTCTTGTTTTCTACAAGAAAAACCACACATGTGCTTGTGTAAACTATGAAGAGCAAATGCCGATTTGGCCTTTGACTTAAATTAATTAGTACCGATTCACAAGGGTTTTGTGATTTTTTTCCTCCCAAAGTTGATTTTTTTCAAGAGAGAAGAGAGCTTGGAAATAGTAAGATAAGCAAAGAAGTAGCATTCTTCTAAAGAAGTGTTTCATTCAGTGTCCACTGCAGGATCTAGACTCTGCAGGCAGCAACAGTAAGAAGCAATAACCTTAGCTCAAGGGAGGAAGTATGAGCCACTATCCCCTGCAGAGGCTGGCTGATGAGGAGTCAGGCCCTAAGGGAATTTCATTCAGTACTCCCCTTGCAAAAAAAATTATAACGTGAGAAGTGTGTAAATGGTAAACAGGACAGAGAATTACAAGGGCACACAAGCGGGCTCTAAGTGAAAGCAAGGAAGCACAATGAAGAACGTCTGACGTTCCCTGTACAAAACTCCTATCTCAAGGGACTGTCCTAATGTCAGCCAGCAAACCACTGGGGCAAAGGATCTGATCAGCCAACTACTAGCGTAATCAAAAAATTTAAAGCACAAAAAGAACCCCAGATGAGTTTTTAAAGAAACCTTTTATTCCAGACTCTTACCAGATTCCAACCCTAAATGATAACACAATCCACTGGTAAGAGATAAAAACCTTAATAGAAAAAAAAAAAAAAAATCTTACCAAGTAAACTATAAAAGATTTGGACAGGAAAATGTCAAAACATTTTCTTCATCTGGACAGAAAATATTAAAATAAGAAATTTTAAACTTACATAAAGATTCAATAGATAAACTGCATTTAACGAATTTTAGAGGATTCAAAATATCTCAATGTGAAGTAAAATAGAGATGTAACAACAGGTAGCTAACCGTACCTTGGAATTAAAAGCTTAGTAACTTAACAACAGAGTCATAAACTGTTTTCCTTCTAACTCCTAATTACTAAACAATTAAGATTAAAAGATAAAAGCAAGGCCTGCTCGGCAACTAAATTCAACACTAATCAGACTTTTCCAAATATAATGCACACAAAACTACTGAGATGAAACTGTACATGTAAATGCAGAAAGAAATACCAGAATAAAGAATTAAAGGGCTATACTATTACTTATGTCATACAGGCAACTTTCATAAGGATCAATAAAGAGCATATTAATTAAGAGACCATGAAAACGTACACAGCTCTCTGATAACATACATTAAAGGCCACAGATGCCGTTACTTCAGAAATAAACAGTTAAAAAAAAAAAGAAAGATAATTTACTTGAGGATGGATTTATACCAGACTCTTCTTCAGGTCAATCATATGAACTGAGAATACCCTTCAGCAGAATTTTATGCATTTCTAATAATACTGACGGCCACCAAGAACAATGATAAACCAGATCTTTTATGCTTCAAAACATTCAGACATTTTTTTTAGGAATATCAATACATGTATTCAAGTTGACCAGAGAAATCATACAAAGATTAATGAGAACTGGGTCTAAGGGATGAAACTGCTTTTTGTTCGAAACAAAGTAATGTATTCAAATGACCAAAAAAAAGTACCCTGGTAATAAGGCGGCACATTAACAAACAAAAATGCCCGGAGATGATGTAGTCACAGGTGAGCGCCCCTGAATCTCCAAATTTCATGGCTTTAATATTTTTAACGGAATATATTTAGACCGACTCTGTACCTGTACTTAGTCTAAAGAGCCCAACAATTTAGCTTCTCCCTCCAAAAATTGTTTCAATACTTTAAAATGTTCACCTGCTTTGTCTCTACACTCAGGTTCCTCCGTTTGGAAATTCAGTTTCAAGAGGATCACACGCTAGGAAACACTGGAGACACTCTGAGGGGCTCTCGCTGACTCGGGCTGCGCCCCCCCAGGCCAGCCGGGAACCCTCCCCCGGAGTCGCCGGGAGAGTCAGCAGCCCTCCCTCCCCGGAAAAGACCAGCCCTTTGGGAACCTCTCAAGACGTTAAGCCTTTTGGCATCACACCTGCGCCGAGCCGCAGGGGTTAACAGGTACCGCGCATTTTCGAGAGGAAGGACGGGAGAGTGCCCTTCACTTCACTTAGGCCACAGTCATGGCCACAGAACGAAGAAGGGAGGCAGGTCCTTCATCCTGGTCTAGTCGGAAGGCCACCATGGTGGCGGGGAGGCCTTGGGGGGGG